CCCCCCGCCCCTCCCCTCCGGGGGGGGGGCGGGGGGGGGGGGGGGGGGGGGGGATCCCCGGGCCCGCTCCGCTCCCTCATCTGGCGAAAACCCAGCTCCGGCAGCAGAGCGTTACCTCAGTCATTAGCCAGGGATTCGGTTTTGGCCAAGCTGGTCTTTTGCTAGATGCGGTGAGATAAATCGGCTCAGCAGAGGGGGTCGATGGGCGCCGCAACGTCCACTGGAGAGACGCGTCCCGCCTTTCCTACCGTTAACGGAATGCACTGCCTTCTTCTGTTGCCTGCGCTTGCTAACATAGCTAAGCAATGCCACAACAACCAACCTGTGTTACGCAGGACACGTCACTGCTGTATGCCAGTGCTCCCCTGGAAAGACACATTTCTAGTCATTGCCCCTGCTGATTTCATGACATCCAGTGTCATTCCTTCCCACCTGCTGGTTTTGGGAAGTATTTGGGTTTTTTCCCTGAGATACATACATAGGTTCTACACACCTCCTTTCATTTATGCAACCCTCTGCATTCAGGTTGTCGCAGGAAAATTCATCAAAGAAGGAATTATCAGGTGCACCTTCAGGAGGATTTAAGCCCTCTTTGTAGTCATGTGTTCTCAGCTAAAACACTGTATTCCACCCATATAAAGTTTTAACTGGTAAACATAACTTTGAAATGAAAACCAGAAGTCTTACATAAAATCAATTGTATTTTTATTCAGCTCTTCAGAGAGTTTTAAGATTAACTACGTGTATTTGTTAAGCCTGTTCCTTAAAGGCTATCCAAACAATACTGTCCATTTTAAAATAAGTAAGCCATCTAGGTAAAAAAAAAACCACAAATAACAAATCCTGCGGTATATCTTTGGAAGAAAATGTCTTGTAATGCATGTAAGAGCTTGAATATTTATATCTCGACTCCTTAAATATCTCATAGTCAACATTTCTTAAGAAATGGCACTCGGAACTTTAGTCAGTTATGTCTTACTGAGGTTTGGCCTGACTGGAATGGTATACAGCTGCAGCCTACTGTGCTGTGGCCTGACTGGAATGGTATACAGCTGCAGTCTACTGTGTTTCAACAAAATAAAAATACTCACACTGAAGAGATCACATCATAACCTGCTATGTTGGTTTCAAGTTATGGCAAGCCTCATGGCAAACAACTGCATTCATATCATGGATTCAAAATACATCCTGCTTGGAGAAAATGCCTTTTTTGGGTTAGCAAATTACGTTAACCTAAAAAACCAACTGATTTTGCCAATATTTGCTGGAATGCTATAATTACAGAAATCATACAACTATGGAAATAAATAATACAGCCACAGCCCATGTTTTCAGAAACACCTGTTCAGCTGCAGCACATATGGAAATTTGCGCTATACATGTATACATACATACGGGGTATTTATACTGACACTGTGCACCCACATATAGATTGTCTTACTGTAATGACATTACATTTATATAACATACTTCAGTTTATTAACATTGCATACCCACAAGTCAGTGATGTGGAAAAGCATACACAGAGCTGAAAAAGCAACGCTGTATCACTAATAATTCAAGAAAATTCTTTAAGTATTTTAGCTCATTGCATTACTTGGTTCATTTTTTTTTCTTAGAAAAGTGCTGTAAAAAGACTGATTTTAAACCCTACCCTTATGTTTAAGAAACGTATCAAGATTGGGTGGGAGGCAACGTATTTCTTTTTACTGCAGAGATCTTCTCTAGAAACAGCCCTATATGTGCATGTGGTTCTTCGGATGATGACCTGAAGCTATCACGAAGACGAATGCCTATTTTTATACTCTATTATTTTCATGTTCAGTGATTTATTCAAGACAAATAAGACATCACACGACTGTGCAGGGAGAGGTCATGGTTTCTCCTTCTACTGTCGCTAAGAAGGATACGTCATACGGATTTTTAACAAGTTGGTTCTCTAACACAGCCTTTAAGAAGCTTACAAACTTTGGAGGCATGCCAGATTACTTTGAGAATTTAAATGTGGAAAAAAAATGCTTGTTTTAAGGAATTTAAGCCAGGCACTATTATTAACATAAATCATAATTTTATTTGGTAATTATTACTAAGTTTTCTAAGAGGCACTTCTGTGGATAGAGCACTACCATTAAAAGATGTAAGAGTATTATACATTTTTGACTGTTAGTTTGTCGTACTGTTATATTGGCACAAGAAGTAAGATGAATAAAAGCAAAGTTCCACTGAAAGGAAAACTTCCAATCAATTCAAAGTAGATTTCTATAAAGAACAACTCCACTGCACAAGCAATTAGGAGACTAAAGCTTATTACATGAGATACTAATGGCAACTGACCTGTTTTTCTTGTATAAAACCATCTGCAACTACATGTATCTATTATCTAAGTTTCTCAAGGCTTTTACGATGTTAACTTCACACATCTTTACAATAAATATTTTTATTCCAAACAGGAAAAGAGCTGTAAGAATTGAATGACTGTCAGTGGCAAGACCACAACTCCAAAATCCTACCCTCTCTTCTGCAACTATTTCAAGGACCACATCCCTTGTATCTGTGCCACATTATGTAAACTTTCCAGAAGTAAATGGTACAAAATGCTTATTTGTAAAGGCTGCTGTGTAGTGAGGAGGTGCATGTCAGATGACACCACCCAGCCCTGTAAGAATCTTCCAAAGGTTAAAAAAATCCTGCAGAGACCATTTCAAACTTCCAAATAACTTTCCCACGGAAGTACTGGAAAATATTTTAAATTCAATCACTGATCAGCTCCTTGATTTTTTATTAATTTTCAGACTCGTCAACAAATCTGTCTGAAACTCAGGAACTCAATTTAATCCTATTCAGA